ACCTCTGTTTTGGACTTTCTTGCCTCTGTTTTTGGCTAGTTGTTGCATTTGAGTCTTGTTTTGCATACTTCTACTGTAAGTGTCGTCACAAGCTTGGTGTTTTAGGCCTTTAGACACCACTTGTTTGAGTTGATTGCATTGTTTTAGTGCTTTTCTCACTTAATTTTAGCAAGCATAATCTCTGCAACCACCCTCATTTCTTGACTCTTTGTTTGTTTTGAAGGTTGTTTCAACCTTAGGATTGTTTAAACTTAAGATTGAGGTCCATGCTTAATGGTTTTATTCTCTTTTGGGGGTTCATTATCAACGGCATGGCACCTCTCTCGTGCCCTACACTATCCCTTGTTTGACACTTCCTTCTCTCTTAAAGGACTTAACTCACCAATGGACTTAATTGGGAAGGGTAATCAAAATGAGTAACTAAAAGTTGAAACTAAAATTATGCAAAGATAAGAATTTGATTGTGTTTCAGTGTGTTCAATCGGACGTTAATTGAACACAAGTAAAATTAGGGCATTTCATACTCAAAGTGATGAAATGTGCTAAGTTTCCTAGGTCTCCATTGCCTTTAATCATGCATGATAGGGTGAAGGTTTTTAGTCTTGTTTGTGCATTGATTAAACTTCTACAGCTTGATTTTTTGGCCATCATACAATGAAATTGCTTGATTGATGGTTTTTGAACCAAGTGTTTCACTCCTGTGAGCTTGTTTTGATGATGAGGAGGGATACACAGTACAAACAACCCTTGAGAATACCCTATTCTTGCTCTGTTTGTCTTCTATATCAGCAAGGAAGGAGTTGGCTTCAGTGGCTACCAACCCCTTAGCAGTGGCCGACATGCCGCCTCTAATGGCCGGTAACCCCTCACTTCTGGCTTACCGGCCACTAGTGAAATTTGAGCAGAATATTTGTGAAATAGAGCAGAGTTGATCTGGAGAAGGAAAACAGTGTAAGTGTTGTGCAACAGAGGCATACAGCAGCAAGACAGTGGTTGTTCTCGGGTGGAAAACCTTGCATCCTTGTGCATTCCTCATTTCTCGAGGTGGAATAGCTAATTTAGCATAGTATTTCATTGTTGTAATTAGTTAATATCTTATACGTAATTAATTAGTTAGTTTGTTGTTGTAATTGTTTAATTAGTTAACTAGAATAGTTAATTAGTTTTTTTTTTTTTTTTTTTTGTAATTAGCTAGAATAGTTAATTAATTAGTTGTAATAATTAATTAATTAGCTTAGAGGTATTTAATTATTTATTCAAGTTTTGTAATAATTAGTTAAGTAGTTTAGCTTAACTAGTTTATTCATTCGGATCCTCCTGCGCGAGGGCATCAATGTTGTAATAATGTGTATGTCTTTCAACCCTACGTCTTTCTCCTTTTTATTTTATCCGCTTTTGATGGTTAGATTAGGGGCATCACGTTTCAATTAGCATATCGCATATTTGCATCCATCCATTTGTCTTACATACACCGGGGCTCGGTTCATCATTCTAATTGCATTGTTAGTTCAATACTTCTTTAAATACATGCTAGACTGCATGCTATCAAATTGCCTCATATGCCATATTAGTAGCCGAGCCTATTAATTGCATTCTTCGCATGTGTTGCATTAGTCATATTACATAAGTTAGGAATCATGTATTTTTCTAACTCGTATCTTTTTGGCTTGGAGTAGTAGGTGAGCGTTTACTCACTTTAGCATCTTGCATGAAATGTTGATGTTGCTATGTCTAGCATGCTTGCCATGAGGCTAAGTGCTTAATTGCTATAAACTGCTTAAATGCCTGTGGATGAAGGCTTATTGCTTGAATTGGAATAATTTGAGTAATGTTCATATGCAATCACTTTTTCAAGTGATATATATTTTGAAATAATTTTCAAAACAAACATGACTTGAAGTGTTCAAATTCTTGCAAAGTTGGTCTATGCTTGTGTGTGTGCGCATCACATAATAATGCTAGCCTAAATAACCGGAATAAGAGCATATAATGTACATAAAAATCATATCATGATTAGTAGAGGCTGATCTCTTATCTGGCGAGCGAGGATGCTCAAATATATTCATGACCTTCCCCTCTCGTACCTAAGTTCTCGAGCCGAGACAATCTTGGTGATGACGGATACGTAACCTTTGGCACGAGTCATGGGTTTCTTAAATTTCTCAAAAATATTTAGGTAGCGACTCCGTATTTGGCAAAGCAATCCATTTCAAAATCGATTTTTCAAAAGATTTGTCGGATTTGGACTCTTTGGTGTTTATCAATTTCACATTGCACTTGTGAGATTAGATTCAGAACCGCGAGAGTTCGAATTGTAGGGCTTATATTTTGAGCTTCCGCAAGGGGGCGCGAAAAAGGCGAGCTACACTTAGCCATGAAGGCTAACATCAATGAGGTTATCAAATGTCATCAACTATAGCCATTAAGAGTAGAGTTACAAAAGTTCAAAACTTCAAAACCATTTTAGAAATCATAATGTGTATATAATATATAAGTTTTATAATTAAACTAGATGGGTTACAAAATATATACGGGTGTTGGGTTACAACCCAATCCAAGTCCAATCTCAAACACATGCACAATAGCACAGCTCAACCCAAAGCTCAAGACTAGGTCAAGTCTAAGACCAAACCTAGCATATGCACAAATACAAATCTAGGCCTAGTCCAAACCAAGACGAAGTCCAAATCTAAACTCAACTTTATTAATGCCCACTTTATAAGAGAATTATCATTCACAATTCAATGGTTTCGGCTCATTATTTTTGTATTGCAATTTTTTCACTTAAGTTAATACAAAACCACTTAGACCCAACTCAACCGCCGGTTAGCTCTCACTTTGATTTTGAATTATAGTTACCAAAAAATCATTATTTTCCAATATATCTATCTTTCATAAAAATGTTTGAGCATGTAGAAATGCTAGTTACTAAAAAATTTACTCCATAACAAAGCATAAAGCTTATGGTGATTTTTCACATGTACCAAAAAGAGAGTGACTTAATACCGACATGAAACTGTATTGTTTTGTTTAACAAACACAATTTTTGGGGGAGGCTCATGCCATTTTCCTACCAAAATCAATTAGTAATGAAACATTTAGTATCGTTATAGCCATATGAGAACAAAATTAATGAAAACCGATCCGATGGGAAGGGGGTGGGCTAACATAACAAATTATAATCCTCTTGCATGACCCCACATGTATGTATATGAGAGGTTTGTGGTTCGTTCAATGAGTAAAACTAATATTCCTAATTATTTTTTTAATTTCTGTAAGATATTATGTATATATTGATGTATTGAATGTTGCATTGAATATTTCTTACAAGGGGAATGCATTCTCTTTTATAGAGAGAATTTGAGCATTGGATGCCCACCGAAAGTGTGATGCATTGTACATTATAAAATATAAAGCTAAAGCTATACACTAACAGACATAATCATACACTAGCTATATACTAACAGACATAATCATGCTAAAGCTAATTATACACTAACAGCCCCCCTCAAACTCAAGGAGGATAGGTACTAGCCAACTTGAGTTTGGAGACAGTAACAAAACAGGAAAGTAAACTGATAAATAAAATAAAATAGGATAGGAGACACAGTATGGTTGTGTCAAATCGTTGTTGAAGACACGGTATGGTCGTGTCGGACCGTTGTAGCAGGACAGTTTACGAGGTCATGCCAGACCGATGTAGCAGACACTGTGTGGTCGTGTCAGACCGTTGTTGTAGAAGCGAACCGGAATAAATGTCGGGACAGTTTACGGGGTCATGTCGGACCGATGTAAAAGCTGACCGGAATCAATGTCGGGACAGTTTACGGGGTCATGCCGGACCGATGTAAAAGAGGATGTAGAAGCTTGTGGTGGTGCACCAAGGGGGCGACTTAGGGAGTGCGCCATGAGGTGGCTTGAGTGGTTCCCATGGTGTATAACCATGCTCAAGCTTTCTCATCAGGCTTGCTGTGGTTCGCATGGTGTGTAACTTCGCTCATAATGATATAGTGTATACCCCCTAAACTCAAATTAGGTGTGAAGAATAGAAACTATTTGAGGTTGAAACAGGGATTGAGAAGTGGAGCAAAATATGTTTTGTATGTTTGTATTTGTTTTGTTTTTTTTTTTTTTTGTTTTTTTTTTTTCTTTTGGGTGGAAATAATATAATAGAAATAAAGAAATAAGGATGATGCTCTACACAACTGAGATGGATATATAATGAATATTGATGAAAAAAAAAAATAGAAAAATAAAATAAAATAAAGAAGGTAGTGGAATGAGATATCTGAAAAAGCTCACCAATGGAGTGGTAAAATAAGGAAATCTCGAGAGAGAAAAGAGATGAGTGTTTTTTTTTTTTTTTTTTTGTTTTTAAATGAAAAAAAAGAGAGATAAAATAAAAATAAGTGAAAATAGAGGCAACGGGTTTGGTACCAGCACATGGTTTGTTTGGTGCAAAATATTGTTTAAACAAAAAGTAGCCACTGCTCAAAAAGAGGAAATGGAAGAAGGTAAATAGGTTCATACTCAGAATGATCAGAAAAGTTCTTAATCACCACGCCAAGACAAGAAAGGGAGGTCTCAGACCATACCTTCATCCTAGTGAAATGATCATTTGAGAAAGTGGCAAGCTTTGGTCTAATGCAACATGATATTCTACTTGATGGAAAGCTACTCCATGGAAGCAGCCACTGCCTCAATCCTCCTCTCTCTGTGGTCAGCCATGTCCAACACTTGTGGCATTTTTCGGAGCTTTTCTCTCTGATTCTTACTGTGGTCGGTTTCCGGTCATCGTTCTCGGGCTCATCTCTATAGTTCTTCTGGGAAGACTCTTCTCTCTGGTCTACAGCAATTATTCCACAATTGAAACCACCCTCTGGTGACGGCGACGTGGACTGGGCGGCGAGGGTGTAGACGTCGTCGGGAGGATGGTGTCGAGCCAGCGGCGGAGAGAGGAGGCGTCGAGAGAGGTCGCGTAGTGGAAGCTTTCATGAGGGCTTGTGGGAGTTGTGTGGGTCGAATGTAGATGTGGTTGAGTTCGCTGGGTGTTGAAGTTCGAGGACATTCAGATCAGGCCGTGGATCTCGTACGCCTTTCTTCAGCAGGAATTCGGTCAGGTAGCGACCGTCTTGGCCCGTGATGTTGAAAGTCGCAATTTGCTTGCAGATAGTGTGTTTTCTTTTTTTTTTTTTTTTTTTTTTTTTTTTTGGATAAATGCTGGAATTCCTCTCATTTGACTCACGCCAGTGCTCCAAAATCCATTGCCCAGAGACTCTCTCTCCCAACTTTGCTCTGAAATTTCTTTCTCCAATAACATGTATGGAGGTCGCAACATTTCCAGTGATCGCCAGGTAATCACCTTGAAGATTCAGAGGGATTTTGGATTTGCTCCGGCGAGGTGGTGAAGAAGAGTGGAGTGGAGGTGACCAAGATGGAATTTGTTAGAAACTACTGCAGCAGTAGCAACAAGAAGAAGATCAAGATCAAGAAGAATAATTTGTGGCAGCGGAGTGAAGGTATGTGTAGAGGTCCGGCGGGCGGCCAAGGCGAGGCTGCCGCCCGCCGGTGAAGCACAATGATTAGGTTGTTAACTTAGCTCTGATACCATGTAAGATATTATGTATATATTGATGTATTGAATGTTGCATTGAATATTTCTTACAAGGGGAATGCATTCTCTTTTATAGAGAGAATTTGAGCATTGGATGCCCACCGAAAGTGTGATGCATTGTACATTATAAAATATAAAGCTAAAGCTATACACTAACAGACATAATCATACACTAGCTATATACTAACAGACATAATCATGCTAAAGCTAATTATACACTAACAATTTCAAAATGACATTTATTGTTATAAACACCAAGCAAACAGTTGAACTTCTAAACACACTTGTATTCATACGCATGTTTGGTGGTTTGTTCAATATCGATTACGTATTGCCAAAATTATAATATTTGTTGCACTAATGTCTCATTTGCTTTGGCTTAAAAACAAGATAACATTCTTCTTCTTCTTTTTTTCTTTTCTATTTTTTTTTGGCTTTTTACTAGTGTTTAGGTAGTTTTTAACTTTTTATTTTTAATCAAAAGCTAAAAAAGTTGAACTTAATAAAAAAAATTTAAAAAAATTAAATGCTCGTTTCAAAATAATACAAATAAACACAATTTAATTTAGCAATAGTCATGGTGAGAGAGTCAAAAACTTTTAGTTAAGAAGTCACATTAAAGTTAGTGTAAATGTCTTAGTCATTTGAAAACCAAGCATAGTTTTGTGTTGCTGCAAATAGTGCGATAGCCAGAATAAAATTAGTCTCATGGGAAGGAGTTAGAAAAATACTATGACCCATCCATAGGAATTCATAACTTAGAATAAGTTTTATGGTGTAAATTAAATTGATAAAGCGTAAAATTTATGTGTGAAATGAATTTGAATTATTGATTTTTTTTCATAGATAAATTCTGAATCAACAACGCTGCAGACCCCAGTGGGGGTCGCACCCCAGTGAGGTGGCGAACTCCCATTGGCTAAAGTTCAAAATAAAAAAAATAAAATAAAACAATTTTTTTTTATCCACTCACAGAATGCCACTCACTGGGGGTCGACCCCCAGTGGGGTCCGAAGCAATTTTCATTCTGAATTCATGAGATAAGTTTGTTGTGATATTAAAAGAGGTAATATCACTTATTGTGATAAATGCATGTGATTGTCAATATTGTTAGAATTCACTAACTTTGTTTGGTTAAGGGATTTAAAATGAGTTTAGAAAAAAAAGAAAAGAAAAGAAAAAGAAATATAGGTGAAATATAAATAAAAATATATATATTTCACTTAATTTTATATGTTTTTTTCATTTCTCTTTTTAAATTTCTTTCTAAATCTCTTAACCAAACACAAATACATACTTGTGATTGTTAATATTGTTAGGTCGTTTGGCATGTAATAGTTTTAACTTAAAATTCAAAATATTATTAAAAAAAATTAAAAAGCTTCTAACTTATACAAAAAAATCAAAAATTATTTTTTTTTTACTTTTTACACATCTTTTATAAAAAATTAAAAAATTATTTTAAATATATTAAATTTTTTCATATATTTTAATTAAAAATTAAAAAATTATTAAAATAATTCTTCTTTATAATCCCGCCACATCCTCCAATTGAATACTCCGAAGCCACCCCGTGAAGTGTTTGTTGATAATGTGAAAAAACAAGGTTGCTATTTCAGTTGCAAAAAAGAGCGTGAAACACACATGTGAATTATTTAGGTAGCGTTTGTAGAGCTTTGTAAATGTGATTTGAGAGTATGAGTTGTATTTTGAGTTTGTGTGTTGTGGAGTTATGATTTGAGTGTAGAAAATTGTTTTGGTAAAGAGTTTTGAAAATAGTTTTGGAAAAGAAGTTTGATTTGAGTGGGGAATTATTGATGTGACATTTGATATGTGATACAAAAATTTTACAACTCATAACTAAAACATACAATTCAAAATTATTTTAAAAGCACTAAAAAATTAAAAAATTTCAGAAAATATTTTTTCCGATTATATAAATCAATTGCAAAAAAAAAAAAAAAAAAAAAAATTACTGTCCGGACAACCGGCCGGACGTCCCCTTAGCAAAAATTTGAAAAAAAAAACAGAGCAAAAGAGCGGCTGAGACAGATTTGGTAACAGAGCTCTCAGCAGAGCTTTTGAAACGTGATTACAAAATCCTAAACAAACATCATACTGAAACACAGGTGTAGAATTACGTTTCAAAAGCACAACCAAACAAGCCTTAATGTTTCTGAATATGAACAAATATTTATAAGATTTTAACTGATAAAGAGCGCTAAAAATTACAATTTATATTTAAAAATAAAAGAATAATATAAAAATTAAATAATTAATAATTAATTTAGAACAAACAACGCATAATAATTTTAAAAGGAAAATGATTTAGAGCCCTAAAATTTTTCCTCCTTATCCCCCTAATTTCTATTTTGAGCAACTTTTTTCCTTTTTTTTTTTTTTTTTTTAATTGATATGGAAATTAGGGGGATTAGGGGGGATATTTAGGGGATATAGCATGACCCATTTTAAAATTAAAATTAAATAATTTTTCAAAAATGCACAGTAAAGCAAAGCGAAGACCAAATAACTTCACTTTTCACAAAGCCAACGCTCCAGCTCCTCACGGCGATTCTTTCCCTACTCGCGTCTCTCTCTCCATCGTTTCTCTCCCTCTCCGACAACTCTCTATTTCTGTCTTTCTCCAATCTCTGATTTTTTTTTTTATTTATTTCTTTTTTTTCGCAACAAAATTTGTGAATTTTTATTTTTATTTTATTTTATGAAATCAGAAAACCGAACCCAATCTCTATACTTTTTTTTTTTTTTGGTCTCCTTTCAATCTCATTTCTTTCCCCTCTTTTGAAGCTTATAACTGAAAAAATCTAAAAATTTCTTAGATGTTGATTTGTGATTATATATCAATTTTTAAGTAGTAAACAATAATTTCAATCAAACAATTAAGACAAATCAACACAACGATTTTAACGTGACAAAATCCACAATTTAGACACCTCCAAATGTGATTAAAAAAACTACGGGCAACAGTCACAAAACAATCCACTAAGAAGTTTAAATGAATTATATAAGGTATACTCTCAATTACCTAGCGAATCCATGCCTAATGAACCAACCTCTTATGTGCCTCTTCCAACCCCCGTCGTCACCTCGGAATTGTCTTTACGATGAGCCACTCCAGAATCCACCGAAGCTTCAGGCT